CCGCCGCTTTTCGCGCTTCGGGGCCGTTCCCTTCGGAAAAGGCTTTGCGAGCGCCGGTCGGCATCGGGAAACCGTTGCGAGTTTAAGTGGGAAATGGCCGTTTAATTAGCGAAAGGCGCTGCATGACAACGAGCGGGGAGTTCCCGCCTCTGGGCGCCGCACCGCTGGCTGCAGCACAGCTGGGGAATGTCCGAACTGCTGGAAAATAACTTTCCTTCCTGCTTTCCACAGAGAAATGAGAACCCTCCACTAGTGCGCGGCCCTCCCGGGGCCGGACAGCTGGTTTCACTTAGATTTGTGTGTGATCAGCCTTCCCGGCATCTTCCTGCTATTTTATCACATGTCAGCGAGTTAGTTTTACCGTATAAGGACTGCGGGCTGCTTCTGGGAGAGGTGGAGCCAGGCTACAGCTTCCCAGTGGCCCCGTCTCCATAGCTTTGGAATCTTGCTTAATTAAAATATGCCTTAAAAGTGGCCTGTCTGGTGGAAGGAGTTGCCGACTACCACATAACAGACGCCAGTTTTCAGTATGATCGATGCCTTGTGTGTAAATCGAGAAAGTTAAACACAGAGCACTGGGTAGAAAACAAATGGAATGCTGGATAATTGATGACTAGAGGAATCCTGGGTTAGCTTCCATTTGGATCTGTCAGTGAAATCCTGTCCAAGATGGTACTGCTCTGGAGGGAAACCACTTCCTCCAGCTCAGGAGGAGCAGTCACTAACCAAAGTCGAGAAGCTGCAGCCAAACAAATTCTTTTTTTTTCAAAGCACTGAACATAAAGCATGAAACAATTCCCCTTCCAGGATCTACAGCCCATAAAAATGTCGTTAAAAAAAATAACAAAAAGTTCAATCTCGTGCCTGGCAATCACACTCAGATTTGGGGACGACTGAGTGCACAAATTTGGCAGTTATTGAAGTAGGGCTTTATTTCCCTTCAAATAACAGGCAATTAGAGCAGCCATATCTTAACAAACACGGTGTATTTATGGACACTGATTTGTTCTGTGTACGAGCATTTCTCCCAACAACCTCCCTCTCCATTTATCACCTACTCATGTTTTATAAACATTAATAGTGTTTGCAATTACTGTGCTGTTTATTCAATAATGTAAACAGACCTTATTACTAAGAAATGCTTTGCAATTCCCTAAGTACCACAGGAAGCAACGAGAGAGGGAAGTGAACTTATTTTAGGAACATATCTAATTTTGCCCTCTTTATGACCCGAAGAAGCCTGACTCTCCCCTGCTGGGGTCAACAGGACCTGCCCAGCAGAGCAGGGACAGCTCATCCAGTGTCTGCAGACTGGGGAGCCCATTGTGGGTAACAAAAGGGCTTTAACTAACTCCAGCTCTGTCAGGGTATTGCTGCAATCGGTGATGAAACCAAGAACAGAAAAAAAATCAACTCTGAAGATTTTGCAAGGAGCCATTATGGAAACAGTTTGGGTTTTAACTTTTCAATCCTACGGGTAGATCCTGAAAGTAGCTCTGAAAATAGTTCTCTGTTGGCAATCCTGTCGAATCCTTCGGTGTGTGGCAGGACTGATAAGAACCATTAAAAAGAAAGGAGAAGCACATACCCCATACCTTGAAATTCCTGAGATGCCACAGTTTAAGCAAACAAAAAGCAGAGGCAGAGAGGTTCCCAGAGCTGCCTGCAGAGGAGGAGCCTTTGCAGGGCTGAGGAGGCTGGGTGAGATGAGAATGCTCCTCTGGGGGGATGTCTCCCGCAGGCTGAAGGTGAGGTGGCGGCTCTGAACAGACGGATCCAGCTCGTGGAAGAGGAGCTGGACCGAGCCCAGGAGCGGCTGGCCACAGCCCTGCAGAAACTGGAGGAGGCTGAGAAGGCAGCAGATGAGAGTGAGAGGTGCGTCTCCTTTTTTTTCCATTAAAAAAATTGAGTATCTATTAATAAAATAATCCTCTGTGATTTATTTGCGTGTGCTAATGTGGATTTCACGTCAGAGACTCAGAATGTTTTTAAAGCTGGGCTGAGTAGCTCTTAGCCTTGAAGAACACGACAGTGTGGTCGTCCTGGGCCACGTTTTGGTTCCAAATACTGAATTCTGCTTTGGGACCTTGGAGATAAAAGTGCTAAAATGCTTCTACATTAAACTCGCTTGCTTTGAATGATGCAGAGGGATGAAGGTTATTGAGAACAGAGCGATGAAAGATGAAGAGAAGATGGAGATTCAGGAGATGCAGCTGAAGGAGGCGAAGCACATCGCTGAGGAAGCCGACCGCAAATACGAAGAGGTAAAAGGGTTAAGAAATGATTAAATAAATGTCCAGGAGAACAGCGAGCAGGTTCATCACCCTGCAGCCCAGTCACTCCTTGTACACTCCTCACTGTGTGACAGTTCCACTTTGGAACGCTCCCAAAGAGGAGTCATTTTAATAGTGACTGCAGCAGCACTAGATTTTAATGCTAAAGCCACTGCAAAATCCAGCTGATGTGGGGAAAAAGTCTGTCAGGTCCGTGCATGGGTGCTTGGATCTGGAAGGAAAGCACAGCACAGTGCTGTGAGAGAAAGAAATGAGAGTGGCTTGATCCAGCTGTTGTCTCTTCACAGGTCGCCCGTAAACTGGTCATTTTGGAGGGTGAACTGGAAAGAGCTGAAGAGCGTGCGGAGGTGTCTGAAGTGTGAGTAACTCCACGGGCACAGGGGCAGCTCAGGGTACAGGAGAGGTCAACACTTTCATTAGAGAAAGGCACCGCTGGGAGCAGTGTGTGTAGGGGAGCTCATTATACCCTACCTTCCAAATTTTCTCCTTTCAGACCTAATAATTATAATTACTTCACCCCTTGTACTTTTAGACATCTTGAAAATGAAATACAGTCATAACAGGGACCACAGTAACTTCTGCTTCTGTTTTTTCCTATAGTAAATGTAGTGACCTTGAAGAGGAGTTAAAGAATGTCACCAACAACCTGAAGTCTTTGGAAGCTCAATCTGAAAAGGTTGGTTCTTTCAGTGAACTAAGGGACAGGGCCAGAGTCAAAACTTGTCAATAAAATTCATAGAGATAATCCAGAAATACAAAGCAAGTGCAAGGGTTTCGGTGCCATTTACCAGGGCCTGCTGATAACACTCAGCAGGTTGTTAAAACTTTTGATTTTATTAAATGGTTGTTTCTGGCTAGTCTAAAAAGGAAAAGTGCTTATAAATAGGTCACACTTTCATAAACATTTATTATTGTTGCTACAACTTCCCTTAAAGAGCGTTTATTGTTTTCACAGTACTCGGAAAAAGAAGATAAATACGAAGAAGAAATCAAGATCCTGTCTGACAAGCTTAAAGAAGTAAGTGGGTCCACCCCACACTCTGTTTTGGCACCATTTTTAAACTGCATCCAGTTAACTCTAGTTTATTTTGTTTTTAGGCTGAAACTCGAGCTGAATTTGCAGAGAGAACAGTTGCCAAACTGGAAAAATCTATTGATGACCTGGAAGGTATGAAACGACTTGAGTTTCATTTAAACATGTCTAGTTTCAAACCAAAAAACAAAATTGTAGGAATGCATGTTAGATTTTGTGGGGAAAGGTCAGAAGTGCTGCTCAGGGGTATCAGCAGATGGGGGTGATGTGTCTGCTGGACACTCTGTCCTGCGTGGCTGCTCCTGGCTGGAGGAAGTTCTCCAGAAAGAGGTCCTCTTGCAAAAAGTTGGTAACAGGAACTTGATTTTGGGCAGCCCACAGATAGAGGGACTCAAGGGCTCTTTGTATTAGAATAACCAGATCCCAACCCTACTGAATCTGATTTCTGAAAGGTAATTTTAGGAGATTAAACACCAAAGGAACCGTAGCTGCCATTCCTCCCTGGCAGCCGTGTGGAGTCCTTGCTCTCACACCAATACTCAATTTCCCGTTTTCTTCTCGTTTTCCTCCCCAACTGCTCTGCCTGCTGCCTTCTGACTGTCTTCTGCTCTGCGCCTCCTCTCTGGGGACTCTTTTCTGCATTTCTGGCTGACACGTGCCCGCTGTCTGGCAGACGAGCTCTACGCTCAGAAGCTGAAGTACAAAGCCATCAGCGAGGAGCTTGACCATGCTCTCAATGACATGACCTCGCTGTGACCGCCCCGGGCGGGGGCTCGCTGCCCTCCTGAAGCTTTTCTTGCCTGTCCCACCTCTCACTCCTGTGCAGCTTCCACAAGCGATCCTTCCGCCTCCTCTGTAAGAACTGTGCTCAATAAAAACACACCTCTACCTTTCAGCTTTTGGGGCTCGTTTCCTTCTAAATCACCTGAAATACACTAGTGGTGGCACCGAGGAGAGGTTCAGCTCCTCCCACCGAGGCCAGGCAGGTGCTGTCAGCCGGGGCAGCACCCGGCGCGCTGGCAAACACCTCAATTTTGGTGTTCCTCAGGCAGCAAAAAGCTTTGAGTGTGTTCAGTGTGTCCCTGTGGGGCTCCATCCTGGTTAAAGATTCTCAGCACACACTCAGGACGACGTGTCCTGTAAATCCCACATCCAGTCAAGATGCAAGTCTGTTGTGTTGCACATAAAGGTGTCCCAAAACCTCGCTAAATTAAGAGTGATTACACAAAAACAGGATGGCCCTGACCCATCCTGTTTTGTGGATGCAGTTGCAGCACTGTCCTGAACGAGAAGGTGAGTCGAGATGGGGTCTACCGAAAGAGAAAAGGCTGCAAAAGGATGGGGTTTAACTCTTTTTTCTTCTTCTTTCTCCCCAGAAAAACTCGCTCAAGCGAAAGAAGAGAACTTGGGGCTGC